ACTGCTCTGTGCTTCTTTCAATTCTTAACAGTTAGTAGGCTGGTACTGTCTGTACCAACAATGACAACAGAATAGCTTATGCCACATTCTGCATAGATAAAATGCCTTGAAGTGCTAATTGTAATGTTTTTGCTTTTAACCAACACTTAAACATAGAAATTTACAGTTTGTGATCATTTAGACTAGAATGAGGTAGTCTGGAAGGGACTTTTGAGTTCTGCAGACYAACCATGCTCTGTTCAAAACAAYTTGCTCAGCAACCTGTCAAAATCTGAACTTCTCAAGACACAGACTCCTTAGCCTCCTGAACACTTTGTGCTAGTGTTTTACTATGTTTGTTATTTTTAAAATGTATCTTTAAATGCCTTCCTTATCAAGTTCAAAGTTCCCTGTGTTTCWGCCTCTGTCTGTTGTTTCTCATATTTTACTGTGTGCWGCTAAGATGAGTMTRTCTTCATCTTCTCTGCACTGTCCCTTAGCTAGTTATAAACAGTAGTAGTCAGGTGAGAAAGAAGGGCCTTCTGGAATACTGGGGGAAAAAGGAAGTGCAGATCAGGATGAAGGGTATAAAGTAATTCAACAGTGACTTTTTGTCTAATGGTTAGCTGGACCAGTGAAAAAACAGGAACTTGTTTTTGGCAAGATCTTTTTAAGACAMTAGGAGAAGAGACAATCAAAAAAATATTACAACAATCAGTAAAAATAAAATTGTGGAAAAGTTAGTAGTAGATACAGACTTGTGGGGGTTTTTGTGTTGCTCTCGTTCTTCCTGAGCTCCTCTAAGACTTCTGTAATATAGCCAAGTATTTTTCTTTTTTTCTTTTCTAAGGTAAAAGCTCTATGACCTATAAATTAGGAGTAGTCAGCAGTGTGATAAGCAGTGTTTGAGAAAGAGATTCTGATATTCTCTTGTGCAGATTAAGAGAAATATAAAGCTGCTATTTTATGTTAACTTGAGTACATAGTATCAATAAGTTTAAAAAAAGTGAACAGCTGAAAGGGAGTGAGCCCTCAAARTACCCTAACTGTTCTTTATAGTAGGTATCTGTAGAACAAAATTGCTTGGATAATCACTAAATAATTGGAAAGGAAAACAGCAGAGATCTCTCCCTATAAGTGGCAATCACTAAAAAGCACAAAGAACTTCCTGCTATCCTAAAACAGGAATGACGTTGCCTTGCCATCCTACCATTTATTGTTCATCTGTCACTCTCTCTTACACAGGGGCTTATGCTGCACAGTTAAAAAACTTTACTTAATAATTTTCAGAAGGATATTTCTATCTTTTTTTCTAGGCCTGAATGAAACTCTCTTGACACACAGAGAGATAGCTTCTTTGCCTATTTTTGGTCTATCCTATTTTTAATTTTTGTTTTATGATTCTACAATAGAATTGTTAGTCTGGTTGTATACTAAGATCACTGCTTGTTATACTAAGCCTATACTCTTGCTGTTCTCTGTAGTGCTGATCATCATTTTTCATCATCACTCTCACTGTTTACTGGAAGTTAAAAATTTCTCAGATTGTAAAGTCTCTAGGTGGTATAGTAACAAGAATAATGAGAAGTGYCCTGTATCTCTGGAGTTTTAGTTATATTAAATACTTCATTCAGGAGTTTTAGAGAACCATTCCTGGGTTTAATTAGCATTTTGGGGTGTAAGGGGATTGGTTTCATTTGTGGTGGTTGGTTCCTTGGTGGTTTTTTTCCCCTGTGGTGTAGAAAACAAGAGAACCTAAATCACATATTTGTCCAGTAACTTAATGGGATCATGTATCGTTGTGTTTTCTAGTTTGTGGGGGTCTTTTTTTAGGTGAGTGTTGTTTTTTTATTGTTGGGTTTTGTACCCTTATTTCATGTAATCTTGCAAAATATCAAACGGTATTTTTTCAGTTGTGTTACTTTCCCTGCAATAAAAATGATAGAAAGATTAGTTCTTCGCTTAATAAGAGAATTATAAATAATATTTTAATGTACCCATACATGTAGTCCTTTTTTTTTCTGTTCATAAAGTGGTAATTATTTTCACAATGTAGAAGGTTAGAAYAGAATTTCAAAATACACTGTCTGTTTAACACTACCCCTTTTCCCCCTGTTCAATCAAACATAATAATTCAGCCTTCTTTCCAGTCCTGGTAAATTTAAAGGTAGTACAGAATGAAAAGCTCTTGGTGTATTACATAAGCAGTCTCTCTGAGTGTATTTTCTTACTGTACTTCRAAACTATTATAAAAGGTAGGTCTTCCAAAGCTTTGGTTATGACTTGTGCCTAGTCCCACAAACCCCTGTGTAAGGGAACAAAATTTCATTAAGTGCTTGATGGAAGACACTTAYCTTCTTTTCCTTTTTGGATTTATGGTTAATTCATACTTTTCATTAGTAGGTAACGTAAAAAAAAAAAAATCAAGAGAAGAAGGGGCAAAGTGCTTACATGACCTTATGAAAATTTCAGTGTTTTACAATACAGACACAACCAAATACTGWACTAGCTCTGTGAACAATATCATTTATTACTGTAGATACATAGAGAGCCATATTAATTTTTCTAACATGCAAACGCTTTTCAAACTGATTTTCCCTTGGTTTTGGTGTCATGTAGTAAAAAATAGAATGAAATAAAGGGCAGGTCTTATGTTCCTCCCCTTCAAGCTCCCCTGCAGCTGCAAACTGCAGCTTCATTCTCTCAATAAACTTGAAGGTATGACTATTTTCTGTTGTTTTTTCCCTTTGTAGAAAATATTCCTAAATGTTACTGGTAAAAGCCTTCCTCACTCTTTATAAATACTTGGTGTCCATACTTCCAACCTTTGTAGAAACTGTCTCTTCTATGTCCGTAAATCTTGGTTTTGTCTCTTGAAAGACAACAATCTTGCCTCTTGCCCAATACAAGCTGAATTTGCTCTTGTTAGGTGAAGACATTTGTATTCTGTCCTATGTTCTTGTGTTTTGTTTTCATACAATATTTAGGGTATTTCTTATATCTATAAGGCTATTCTATTTCTATATCTATAAGGCTATATCTATTTAGGCTATTTCTTATATCTATTTCTTATATCTATGTAGGTATGAATCTACTCAGACATGGCATAAATGTTACTGAATTCTTGTGTGGATGTGTAAGCCCTCTCTCCAGAATCATACAATTACAGAACCATTAAAGCTGCAAAAGRTAGTTTGATCATTGAGTTCAGATATTTAGATGAGCTCACCACCGCCACATTCAACCACTATAYCATATCCACAAATGCCACATCCATATTCCTTTTGAACACTTCCAGGGATGGTGACTCTACCATGTCCCTGGACAGCCAATTCCAGTGCCTGACCAACCTTTCAGTGAAGAATTTATTTCTGATATCCAGTCTAAATCTCCTGTGGCTCAGCTTGGCCATTTCCTCTGGTCCTGTCACTTGTTACCTGGGAGAAGGGACTGACACCCACCTGTCTATAACCTGCTTTCAGGTAGAGAGTGGTAAAGTCCCCCCTGAGCCTCCTTTTCTCCAAGCTAAACAACCCCAGCTCCCTCAGCCACTCCTCTTGAGACCTGTGCTCCACCCCCTCACCAGCTCCATTGTCCTCTGGACTCATTCTGGCATCTCAGTGTCTCTCTGGAAGTAAGGAGMCCAAAACCGGACACGGGATCTGAGGTGCAGCCCTACCACCTGACCATCTAGGTGTATTATAAAAAGAAAAGAGGGCAATTATGACTTTTTATTTAGGCTTATCTTCTTAAATTATTCTTAAGCATCTTTTTTGCAAACGTATCAATAAGTAGATTGCCTTGAATAGTGTTGAGCAGGAAGTACAATGAAGCTTTTAAAAAAAAGATAATAGCAAACTTCTTCTGGTCTTCTACAGTAMCATTTTGGTAACAATATTGGGAACTCTAAAGTTCCGTTTTCTTGAGASTTGGCTAAAGAAATGCTTTAGGCGTTAATTGTTTTTCCATTGGGGAGGGTAGGGGAATATTGCTTGCTGTGGTTTTTTTCAGGTTTTTAAGTTTTCAGCTGTTTATCAGCAGTCTTTCCTCATTTTAAATTAAAGATGCCTAAGTGACTAGATAAGATTTTCTTAYAGAATGTGTTTTCCAGCAGAAATAGTGTGAGTTGTGAAATGTCAACATTTTTGAAAATACTAGGGTCCCCTCATCTTTTTCTCCCATATGTATTTATCTATAGAAGTAGTCCTACAGTAGGATCTGTATATGCTACAGTTACAATTAGTTTTTTCATGTAATTGTGAATGGTGAGTGTGTATAAAGTAACAATAGTTCCTGAATTAAATTGGGTTCTTCCAGACTGGCAATGCAAAGATATCAAATTGTCTTAGATCATCTCTGTAGTTATTCTGCAGCTGTTGTTGGGATGCCTAGTTTACTTGRGTACAAGAAGAACATCCAATCAAAAAAAGTAAGCATCCAGTCTTTATCTACTTCAAGATATATTGCTCTGTCATAGTTTGAAGAGATTTTTCAWGTATAAGAACACCTTAAAATGTACATCTACTAAAATGTGTTTCTGGTGTATTTTTGCTCCTACTGTCTTTTTGCACATAGGAGCTCCAATATGAGCATGGATGCCAGGTRTTCTGAAGTACTTATAGAGTAAAATAATATCAAGTTCATTCACATATGTGGTCTGGCTGATAGCTCTGATGRTTTCTAGTTAACATGAATATTCAGTACTCTTCTATTTTGTAACAGCACTTTCACTTTTAAAATGGTTGAAATGCTTTAGTAAATAGTGCTGAGAGTGTTTCCACTTCYCTTTCATAAAGACTATTTCAATACATAAAACGTGGGGATTTTGTGTGTGTTTGTATGTTAGCACCATGATTTATTCAGCCTTAYTTTTTAAAACTTGTATCTCTTTTATTCTCCTTAATTTTAGAAAGCGTGGGTTGTTGTCAAGTATTTCACATTGTAGATTCTCCATTATGCTTCTGAAAAGATATGTGTTTAGTGTACTTGTTTAGTATTATGCTCTTTTTTTTCTTTTCCAGTTCCTGAAACAGTTGGGTATACATCCTGACTGGCAATTCGTAGATGTTTATGGTATGGAACCAGAGCTGCTTAGCATGGTGCCAAGACCTGTATGTGCAGTACTACTTCTCTTTCCAATAACAGAAAAGGTAAATGTTTATTTAATAAWCAGCTAATTGCTTTTGTCATAAAGGAAATGGCAATGAAAGGTTGAATCTCATACTTTGACATCATATTAGAACTGAGACTCAAGCCTTATTCAAGAGACTTCTTCATTAAAAATAACAAAAAAATGCTTCCTTCAGTACTTTCTTCTCATAACCTTGAATGTATATGTTTGATTTCTTTTCGAATCAGAATGGGAAAAGCTAATGTAGAGGCATAGAGAAATATGCCTCACATTTTTCTATTACAGACAATTTAAGGCTTTTTTTAATAATAAGTACTATGAAATGGCTCTATTTGCTATTTGTAGCAGAGAGCTACAATAACAATAAAAATAATAAATAAGGTTTAGGATTATATGCAACTCCAGTTTGAATTTTTATCCTGTTGCTCTGACAATCCTTCAGACTTCAATCCACTTCAATCTACTTTCATCAATATTGATGTGGCTTTCACTTCTTGGACAGATGGGGCATATTATTAAGATGAAAGACAATTTCCCCTCCCCCCCCCTTCTTTCACTATTTTGGACTATGAAATACTTGATTCGGTCAAACCTTCAATTTTGTGCTTATTTTGTGTCATCACATGCTTTTGTGTAGTGTGATTCATATTGATCTTTCAATTTATAAAAGTATTACATGGTTGTAGTAAGGCCAGCTGAAAAGGTTGAAGTGAATCTGTCCACAATTYGTTGTTTTAATTTGTCTTTCAAAAAGAATGTGTAGTTCATAAGGACAAATCACTTAGCTGTTAAAGCTTTAACTTCTACAGTAAAATGTGTTTAAATAAAGAGTGTCAGGTCAGTCTTCTTACACATTAGATCCTGCAAACCTTTGTGTTCTCAGTTTCTCCAAAACAGCTATGCACACAGTCCTTTTCAAGCTTGATTTCAGCCACCTTGATAGTTTTGAGCTTAATCAAATTTTCAACTCACCTGTCTTCAGGAMATGTCCTTTCTGTCGCCTTTGAGGCTTTGCTTTCTGCGTGCTGTTGTTTCTCTCTGGCTATTTGAGCTACAGGTCTGAGCTCCTTTTGTGACTGTCACTTTTCTTTGTCTCTGCTTGTGCAAACTTTTTTTTTTGATCATGCTATGGGAGCATTATCCCATGGGAAATAATAACCTTCCTCTTGTTCCAGGAGGTGTATCCGATTTCATCCTGAACAAGTAGAAGACAAACAAAACCAGAGAAACATCATAAACTCTGTTGCATACAAATCAGTCAAATCAGTGAAATTTGAGAACCAGCCAATGTTCAGCATGTTAATCGTTCTCAAACATAAGGGAGACAAGTGTTTCCATCAACCATTTARCTTGGCTGTGTGAAGGATGAATGTTTCATGGGAAGTCCCAATCTTCTGAAGCTTTTGTTGAGAGTGTGAACTCTGCAAGACCCTTAGGCATTATTTTGTATTTCTAGAGTAGTTTTTTCTCCTCATCCTCCCTTTCATAATGGCCTGTAAAATTATTTTTATTTATCATTTATTTGTTTCTTGGCTGTGTCTACATTTATGRAAGTGCTTTTTAGTTTTGCTTCCTTTGTAAACACTTCTCTAACATGTCTGTTCYTCTGACTGGAAATTCAGTTGTTTCATGTTTCCCATATACCAATTTCCTTGAACTTGCTTTTAGGGCAAGCTACTCTTGTTATGCAGGTAATTTTAGGATTGTTGTCCAGTTTGAAGGTCAATGGCTTTCTTAGTCTGCAGAGTAGGTTGTAGACAAAGTGAATATTGTGGGTGTTGGCCATTTCGGGCCTAATGAATTAATAGATCCAAATGAATATAAATCATGGGATAGCTTAGGTTAGGAGGAACCTCTCGAGGTGATCTGGTCTCGCCCTTGCTCAATATTATATTTTTGGTATTCTCAGCATTTATATATTTATTTTTGCTGTGGAGTTTATTTTGGTTGGGAGGAAATGAATGGCAACTGTATTGTTTACCTCTCTAGTCTGGACTTTTTGTCCAATTAAGCTGTATGAAAGTTTTATCTCAATTAAGGCTATTTTTTGTTAACTTGTAGATAAGTTGTGCCAAATTAAAATGGTGTAGAATGCTCTTGCTATTTCTTAGACTATTCAGAATATTTAGACAAGCTGCAGTGGAATATGATGCTGGGAAATTTTTTTGGTTTTGTTTGTCACTGACAGTAATAAAGCCTGAGGGAAATTTTTCAGGAGTTTGCAGGAAGAGTTTTTTGGTAACATTCTTCATTCATACTTCATTTTTGTCATAATTGTTTAAAAAGCCCATCTGCTTCAGTACTTTTTTTTTTTTTTTTTCAAAAGTACCTTGTAAAAGAGGCAGAGGGGGAAGCACTATCTGGAAAATTTGTGGATTTATTTCTTTCTTTTTCTATTTGAAATTAAAATTTTAAGAAAGAAAATAAGCAAACAAAAATCCCAAACAAATCCAATCAAAAAAAGGCCACAACAACTTCCCCTCCAAAAGAACAAACAAACCACAGCCAACAACAAAAAAAGCACAAAGCAACATACTATTGCATAGTATAGCAGATTTTAGTCAATGATGATCTTCACAAAACAAGTCCTTTAGATTGTTCAGTCAAACCAAATTATCTTTTTGCTGAAGAAAATAAACATTTATTTTATGAATAYGGCTTTTGAAGGACGTGGTTTGGGATCATATGTGTTACATAAATCTTATTTGATACTCATGGAAGAAATTAAATGTAAAAATGGAACTYATAAAGAATTCTTCATGATGATAAATCACCCTAAGTGTTACTGTTTTCTTGGTAGCACTTTGGTGCCTGTGTCCTTGAAACGCGTTCAGTTGTACTGAAGAGAGATGGTGATGTGAGCTCAGATCAAGGAAATATTTGGAACATTTTTGAAGTTATGTTAGATAACATATAYTCAAAATGATGTTTCAAGTGTGACTTTTTTGGCTAACATCAAGGCATTAGGTTAAGAAGCAATATAGAACTGTTCAGGTAAGTTTGCATATATGTATTTCTTGGACCATACACACTAAACGTTWCAAATGGCTGTATTAATAAGCTGTTGTGTTTTGTAAGTTATTTTTACTTGAATAATGTAGCTATTTGTACTATTTGTGAAATGTCTAACTTTCCTTCCAGTATGARACCTTTAGAACAGAAGAAGAAGAGAGGATAAAAGCTAAGGGACAAGACGTCAAATCATCAGTGTATTTCATGAAGCAGACCATTAATAATGCTTGTGGAACAATTGGACTAATTCATGCTATTGCAAACAATAGAGATAAAATGAACTTCGGTAAGGTTTTTTTTGTTTGGTTTTTGTTGTTTTTTCCCTTTTTTCCTTAACTGTGAGAAGCCATAGATGGAAGGATGTTTTGTACTATTTTTTTCTGAAAATAACCATTGATAAAGGCTAAAGGAGTAAATTTTTACCTATAATGAYAAAACTAGTATTTTAAACTAATTTATGAACTAAAGTACTTGAAATATTGCAAACTACAGCAGGCAGCAGTTCGTCTTGCGGTCAGCCTTCTGTATTTTAAAGATACAGTGCAATTTTATCTTCAGATCTTTTGTTGGATTCTGTAAACTGTGAATGAGGGTGGAATTAAAACATGACACTAATTATGTCTTAAATTTTTTTTAAAGAAACTAATTCTTCACTGAAAAAGTTCCTAGAAGATTCATTATCTATGACTCCTGAAGAAAGGGCCAAATACCTAGAAACTTACGAAGTTAGTATCATGTGTTTTTACTTTTATTTAAAATGGTGTAATAATTACTTGCATGAGCAGATACTATCCTTGTGGGTTGACTTAGTGAAGCACCTAAACAAATTTGATTTTACAGTGAGCTGGTGATCAGAAGGTTCTACAAAGGAAACACTGCTTTGGTATTTTAGAGTATTCCTGCCTGCTCATAGCTCAGTGAGCACAATGGATTTTGTCAGTGTTCTCATCCATATTAATTCACTGACTTAGTTTAAATTTACTTTGAAATGCATGAGAAATGTGTGCATAATCTTTTTTCTTGTGGGTTCAGGATGCAGTTTAATGGTCAATTTAAGCTGTTTTGGGGCTATTGCTGAAAGGACAGTCTTTTTGCTGCCTCTTTTAATTTGTRCCTTCTAGTCGTATCTCCATTTCTTTAGCATTTGAGGCACACAAAGAGCTGATTTGGCTGAAATGTGATCTCCTTCCTCTACTATCCTGAACTATGAGATGAGATGAACTAGCTGGTAGTGTGGTTAGCCACATCGTTAGTGCTGTTTGAAAGGATGTGGCAGCAAYATCTGGACAGTGGTGGATGGAGACCAGTGCTGTTGCTCCTGATGATAATGATGGTCCTCTTTCAAAATGAAAACCTTGATGATTTTTAAGTCAGAGTTCAATTTTAGCATGTTGTAAAACCCTGAGGAATACGAATGCTAACATGTGACTAAAGAAAGTAGTAACAAACAGAAACAGCAGAGATTTGATTATATTTTCTATAGATATGTTGAACACGAAATGACAGATCAGAGCTTCTATCTAAATTATTTTTTCTGCTCAAAATGATAGATAAAAATGCTTGTATTGTTTTCTGTGTGTAAAAGTACCAGWACAAGCTGTCAGATATTTTTGCTGAATTGACTGTAATGAAACTGAAATATTGGTTTTCTGAGATCCTTGGAGGTGGGGGTTATTTGTCATCTTTCTTATTTAAGACAAGCACTGAACAAAAATAATTATATCAATGGCATTTGATAAAATGAAGTGCAAAAATGGTTCTTACAACACTGAAGGTCTCTCATTTAAAGTCTGATTGAAATGTATTTTAATTTTAGGCTATTCGTGTCACTCATGAATCCAGTGCCCATGAAGGTCAGACTGAGGTATTCATTTTTTTAAAAAGTCTGTGTTAATATCTAATTTGRGATGAATATAATTGACATGAAAGCAGTCATATATGAAAAGTTTACCATGAAAATACCATGTGGTTATTGCTTGGTTTTCAGTAATGTGTCATTAATCAAGTGGCATCATTAGGGGGGAAGCCAAACTTGAAGCTTGGGGGTTTGTTTGTTTGAGGGGTTTGGTGGGGGTGATTATTTGCATTGGGTGTTTTTAGCTCTTGTATAACATGAAAGATCTTTCTAAGCTTAATTCCAGAGTAAAACAGACAGAAACAGAACATTGAAGCTCTGATGTTGCAAATGTGTAGGTGAGACTATAAGATTCATAGTAAGCATACAAGTGAACAAACATTTTGTGAGAGTCCAAAAAGTTTTAATTCAGGARAAGCAGTAGTCCAATACTTGGTTTGCAATTATGTACATGCTGTTTGTATACAATACAAATTCAGAGAAATTCTCAGTAATATATATATTTATAAGCATTTATGCCCCAACAGATTGTGTGATAGAGAAAAAAATTCTGAAAGATGACAAAACAGCTTAAAATAATCATAAACTTGAACATTCAACATATTTCTGTTTCAGTCATACTGAGTCTGTTTTCCATCTTTCCGGTTCAGATTTTAGTATCTGTTCCACAAAACAAAACAAACAATATTGGTTAGATTCTTGCTAGCACTGCTTTGTTTGACAAAAAGAGAAACACTTCTATGTTTGGCTGTTGCTCCAGTGACTCATCCATTCTCTCTTTTTGAACTACAGTAGGTGATGTTCTCTTTCTTTTGTGCAGTGTCTTCTATACAATGCAGGGGAAAGCAAAGCAGTCCTGTCTGTTCCTCCTTGCCCTCACTAGAAATGAAACGAAGAGAATYGTTTCAACTATTTCTGTTACGGATAACTCAACTTCCTTTGTAGTATTTTCTTTTAAAATGCACACCACTCTCTCTTATATCTTTCTTTAAATTAGCCAAGTTTCTGTATTTCAAGAAAAAGCATCAGAACAAATTTGTATTTTTTCCTTTTCTAAGTAAGAAATTCAAAAAATTCTGATCTGGTTTTGTTTTTTCAAATGAGTCTATTCCTAGATATTCTTGGCATGCTCAGTAAGAGCAATTATTCCAACAAGTTGCTGAAGACTGAACCTTTTTCTAAGATCCTTGTGAAAGAGAAGTTTCTTTAGGTGTTTTGATGTACTGTGAGGTTCATTTAGGGAATGGTCTGTCTCTATATTCTTCTGGCAGATATTATGCAATGATTGAGTAAGAAAATGCAAAGGCTATGTGTTCTGAGAATCTTCGTGAAGATTCAGGAAGCATCTAAGTGATGATGGAATCTCCTAATAATGGACAGTTAGCTTCTTGAACTTCCACTAATTAATTTGTTTCCTGATCAAGATAACCACAATACAAAAGATTGATAATCACATGGAACGATGAAGACTTTTTTTCATAAAAAAAAATTACAAGATTGTCTTAGCAACCATGCCTAAATACAGATATTGAATAGCTAGTTTCCTTGCCAATTATTTATTATTCCATTTTGTATAATTCTATCTGTAAGTAATTCAATATGGATATTCCTTAGGCTGGCAAAATAACTTTTTCCTGTCTTTTTGTTTCCAAAATAGAATAGTACAAAGGCTGAATATATTTCCTAGGACCTTTTTTTTCAGAATAGCTCTCATCCATAAACCAAGGAGAGAAGAAATAAACAAGTTTTGTTACTAGAACATCAAATTGCCTGGAAATCCTGTCCTACCATGTAGTAGTTAAAAAGGCAGCTAAGGCCTCCCCATTCATTCATACTGGACAACTTGCTTTAYTTTAAAGTAAAATTCTTTCTAAGAAAAACAAAATATGAAACATAAATATGCTAAGTGTAACTGAGAGTTGAAGTGGGTTAATTTCTTCCTTCCACTGGTACAATTTATGGCTCTGTGTTACGATTGAAGGGGCTGATAAACAGCATGATTTTTCTGGTGCTGAAGTTGCCATATGCAGGTCATAGGAGGTTGTTGCCTTGTCCTGTGGAGTAAGTTGAGGATTTCTGAGRAGGAGAAGAAAGGAGGAGAAAGAGGGATTCTCTTCCTGCATAACCATTATTTCCTACAATTAATTTCCTGAGAATTTAAACTTCCTTTAAGAGCACTGGAAAGGAACATGGTTACCTTCCTATGACTCTGCAGTTTTTGTTTTCATGCTGACCTCCTCAACTGTCCAAGCAGCCAAGGCATGTCGCATAGAAAWCTTTCCTTTGAGTAAGGTGGATTATTTAGTTTCTTAATGATAGTAAGTGCTGTACACTTAGTGCTTTGTGAACAAAATGTCCTTTCTAAGTCTATTACAGATTTATAGATTAGGAAAACATTTAGGCCTACTTTTTCGTAGGATGATTAAGTTGGCTTGTGTGCTTCATAAGAAAAGCCTGTTCTGTGGGTAGTTCTGTCCCTTAGATAGGTATTGCATGCTACTGTCCACTCACATTTTCAGAAAGCCTTGCTTAAGCTTAACTGTGTTAGAATAATTTCCAAAAGTAGGATGCATAGCAGTCAATTCTGCTGTTTTGGTTAGGAAGCTTTCAAGATTCTGATGTTTCCTTCTACCATGCAAAACACACCATCACGCGATTGAGATAAATTTAAATTTTCTGGAACCTTGAGCTGCAAAAGGTTTAAAAATAGAGCAGAGTACAGACAGGTTCTCTTCTGATAGTACTGTTTGGTGAATTTTGGTTTTTCTTTTCCTGGCTTCTGATGTTTCAGATATTTAAGGATTCCACTATTAATACTTCTAAGAAAAGCTTTTATTTGTAGATTGCTCCTGATATTCTTCCTAAGTCTTCACAGACTTTTTTTATAATCTTAGTGACTACTTAGTTTTTTCAATATGATAAATGCATTTTCTGCTTTTTTTTTTCTATTTCATGTGTGTGAGTATTTCAAACCTCAAAATAAAACAAGTCTAGCTAGAAATAAAATCTAGAAGTAATACCATAAAGCAGTGTAATATTTCTAGTGTCTATATTCTAGTATCTGTATTCYGTCATCTTGTCTAGTGGGTAGGATTTGTTTCTGTTTTAGTATAATCTGTAATCAGATTTTATTTCTCCTAAATTCCATAAGTTTTGGAGAAGAGTTCTTCTTTGGGGGAGAAAAAGTCCGTATTTGGCAAGATATTACTTGCCAAATTGACTTCTAGATTTCAGATCTGCTGAAAGAGTTACAGTGATCAGTTTGCTTCTGGGATGTATCATTACTGTGGGATCYATTWAGATGAAAATTAAGATGAATTTCTMAGCAGATGGATTGAAGCTGAAAGCTATAGAATGTTCTCCCTTGTTGGGTACTTTAACAGGCTTCCCAAGTTTGATAGCTGTGATTAAATTGTTTAGTTAAAAAAAAGAAAAGGCTGTGTTTTCAGACATTTTGTCTAACTTTTGGTGTTGCATTTTAAACATTTACAGGCCATCTACAGACTGGATCAAACTGAGTACTTTGTGGAGATTTTTTGTGTATTAAATTTGGTTATGTTTTAATGAAGTTTACTGAATTTTTATTAAATTATTTTTCTTATAAGTAAGATATTTTCTTTCAAGGTGATTAAACTTTTAAGAACTGTTAAGCAGTTTTCATTTTGATAATTCATTTCAAGTTTGCAAATTAAAAGGATTGTAAATTTGCACTTAATCCTTCAAGCCAGGTTTTTTACCAGGTTCTGTTAATACTCCTGAATTCTCACTTTATTGCTACAGTAGAGCAAATCAATAGCTAAAGCAGTCTTAAGGGAATTTTTATGGATACTTCTGTGTAAAAAATTTAGGTCTGTTTAAAATTACTTGGGCAGCAAGCAGTAATATCTGGGAATGGTTCCACAGAAGAAGTGTCATGTTGGCCTCAAGGGCGGTTGATTCTGGTTGTGTATTCAAATACCGTAGTGAGGGCAATTAATGTAAGATTCCTGTAACAGTCTTTCTGTTGAAGTTTATGATGCTGAAGTTTACACTTTTCTCAGGTGACAGGTATTTCATATCCAAAGCTGCCAAAAAAAGAATCTAGTTCTTTACCTTAAAGCAGTGTACTGTGTTCTGTGTTATAGCTCCTGAACTGCAGATGTTGTTGGGACTAGAATAGGTGCCAGAGATTCAAGATCCTCTTTATTCTTCCACAAGTTTTCTGCTGAGCATACACTTCTATTTATAATATCTAGGATGTCTTAAGATGTGGAGAATAGAATCTGTTTCTTTGCAGAACTGTACACACTTTTAAGCCAATCCTTACTTCATTGCTTTGTGCTGAGCAGCGTTTGAGTTTTCCCTTTTTTTCACAATTGTGTTTTTTTTCCTTCTTGTTCTTCTGATACCTCCTTCAGCAGTTCATAAGCTTTGAACCCTGTACTGCCTCACATCTTAAGATTTCTGATACCCACTTATGAAGAGCCAAAACCACCCTCTCTCTTMAAAAAACCACAACCCTTCAAAAATATTAAAATAACAGTTTGTGGATCTACATTAGCTGTCTAATCAACAGTGAATAATAATGACTTAAGTTATGGCAACATCTGAGAGAGGAAAAGTAGCAATTTATAGCAGTGATCAGGGTTAGATTCATATCTAACTTTCTTTTGTATTGCTATCTTGAATTCTTTTCTTTCAAAATAATTATAACTATTTGCAAGTAACAGATGASAAAATTTAAATGGAACATTTTTTGGAAACAGGAAAACATGTTATTAAATGAGAGACACTTCCAGATCTAGAGTCTTTTGCAGACTAAATAGCCCTTTTGAATTTGGAGTTGGAGCAGAATTTTATTTTGTATCCTGTCTCCTCATTTGCRTTAATAATATAAAGTTACTCTATAGTTGCTTGGGAGAGTAGGAAAGGAGGAAAATGCAAAAGCATGCTTTGTATGGAAGTAAGCCATTAGAAATCGTTTGGCTCAGTTAAATGATTATATGTTACGATAGCTTGAAGGAAGTTTT